CTAAACAGTCAGTAATGACACTATTGGTTGTGCTTCACTAAACAGTCAGCAATGACACTTTTAGTTGTGCTTCACTAAACAGTCAGCAATGGCACTGTTGGCTGTGTTTCACTAAACAGTCTGTGATGCCTTTGTTAGAAGTGTTTCTCTAAACCGCCAGCAATGCCACAGTTGGTTGTGCTTCATTAAACAGTCATCAATGACACCGTTGGCTGCTTTTCACTAAACAGTCAGCAATGTCACTGTGAGCAGTGTTTCACTAAACAGTCTGCAATGCCACTGTTTGCAGTGTTTCACTTAACAGGCAGCAATGCCACAGTTGGTTGTGCTTCATTAAACAGTCATCAATGACACTGTTGGCTGTGTTTCACTAAACAGTCTGCAATGCCACTGTTTGCAGTGTTTCTCTAAACAGTCAGCAATGCCACTGTTGTTTGTGCTTCATTAAACAGTTAGTAATCCCACATTTGGTTATGCTTCACTAAACAGTCAGCAATGGCACTGTTGCCTGTGTTTCACTAAACAGTCTGTGATGCCACTGTTGGCAGTGCTTCACTAAACAGTCAGCAATGCCACTGTTGTTCGTGTTTCACTAAACAGTCTGTGATGTCACAGTTGGTTGTTCTTCACTAAACAGTCAGCAATGCCACTGTTGGCAGTGTTTCACTTAACAGTCTGTAATGCCACAGTTGGTTGTGCTTCACTAAACATTCTGCAATGCCACAGTTGGTTGTGCTTCACTAAACAGTCAGCAATGCCACTGTTGACAGTGTTTCACTAAACAGTCAGCAATGCCACATTTGGTTATGCTTCACTAAACAGTCAGTAATTACACTATTGGTTGTGCTTCATTAAACAGTCAGTAATGCCACATTTGGTTATGCTTCACTAAACAGTCAGCAATGACACAGTTAGTTGTGCTTCACTAAACAGTCAGCAATGACACTGTTGGTTGTGCTTCATTAAACAGTCAGCAATGGCACTGTTGGCTGTGTTTCACTAAACTGTCTGTGATGCCAATGTTGGCAGTGCTTCACTAAACAGTCAGCAATGCCACATTTGGATGTGCTTCTCTGAACATTCGGTAATGACACTATCGGTTATGCTTCACTAAACAGTCAGCAATGCCACAGTTAGTTGTGCTTCACTAAACAGTCAGCAATGACACTGTTGGTTGTGCTTCATTAAACAGTCAGCAATGGCACTGTTGGCTGTGTTTCACTAAACTGTCTTTGATGCCAATGTTGGCAGTGCTTCACTAAACAGTCAGCAATGCCACTGTTGGATGTGCTTCTCTAAACAGTCGGTAATGACACTATTGGTTGTGCTTCACTAAACAGTCAGCAATGCCACAGTTAGATGTGCTTCACTAAACAGTCAGCAATGACACTGTTGGTTGTGCTTCATTAAACAGTCAGCAATGGCACTGTTGGCTGTGTTTCACTAAACTGTCTTTGATGCCAATGTTGGCAGTGCTTCACTAAACAGTCAGCAATGCCACTGTTGGATGTGCTTCTCTAAACAGTCGGTAATGACACTATTGGTTGTGCTTCACTAAACAGTCAGCAATGCCACAGTTAGATGTGCTTCACTAAACAGTCAGCAATGACACTGTTGGTTGTGCTTCATTAAACAGTCAGCAATGGCACTGTTGGCTGTGTTTCACTAAACAGTCAGCAATGCCACATTTGGTTATGCTTCACTAAACAGTCAGTAATTACACTATTGGTTGTGCTTCATTACAGTCAGCAATGCCACATTTGGTTGTGCTTCACTAAACAGTCAGCAATTCCACAGTTGGTTGTGCTTCACTAAACAGTCAGTAATGACACTATTGGTTGTGCTTCACTAAACAGTCAGCAATGGCACTGTTGGCTGTGTTTCACTAAACAGTCTGTGATGCCAGCGTTAGAAGTGTTTCACTAAACAGTCAGCAATGCCACAGTTGGTTGTGCTTCATTAAACAGTCATCAAGACACTGTTGGCTGTGTTTCACTAAACAGTCAGCAATGTCACTGTTGGCAGTGTTTCACTAAGCAGTCTGCAATGCCACTGTTTGCAGTGTTTCACTAAACAGTCAGCAATGCCACTGTTGTTTGTGCTTCATTAAACAGTCAGTAATCCCACATTTGGTTATGCTTCACTAAACAATCAGCAATGGCACCGTTGGCTGTGTTTCACTAAACAGTCTGTGATGCCACTGTTGGCAGTGCTTCACTAAACAGTCAGCAATGCCACTGTTGTCTGTGCTTCATTAAACAGTCTGTGATGCCACAGTTGGTTGTGGTTCACTAAACAGTCAGCAATGCCACTGATGGTTGTGCTTCACTAAACAGTCAGTAATGACGCTATTGGTTGTGCTTCACTAAACAGTCAGCAATGGCACTGTTGGCTGTGTTTCATTAAACAGTCTGTGATGCCACAGTTGGTTGTGGTTCACTAAACAGTCAGCAATGCCACTGTTGGCAGTGTTTCACTAAACAGTCTGCAATGCCACAGTTGGTTGTGCTTCACTAAGCAGTCTGCAATGCCACATTTGGTTATGCTTTACTAAACAGTCAGCAATGCCACTGTTTGCTGTGCTTCATTAAACAGTCAGCAATGCCACTGTTGGCAGTGTTTCACTAAACAGTCTGCAATGCCACAGTTGGTTGTGCTTCACTAAGCAGTCTGCAATGCCACAGTTGGTTGTGCTTCACTAAACAGTCAACAATGCCACTGTTGGCAGTGTTTCACTAAACAGTCAGCAATGCCACATTTGTTTGTTTTCAATAAACAGTCAGTAATGGCATTGTTGGCTGTTTTCATTTAACAGTCTGGAATGCCAGAGTTGGTTGTGCTTCAGTAAACAGTCAGCAGTGGCTTTGTTCGCTGTATTTCACTAAACAGTCAGCAATGCCACTCCTGTTGATTTTGCTTTACTAAACAGTCAGCAATGCCAGAGTTGGTTGTGCTTTACTAAAGAGCCTGCAATGCCACTGTTGACTGTGCTTCACTAAACTGTCAGCAATGCCACAGTTGGTTGTGCTTTACTAAACAGTCAGCAATGCCACTGTTTGCTGTGCTTCATTAAACAGTCAGCAATGGCACTGTTGGCTGTGTTTCACTAAACTGTCTGTGATGCCACAGTTGGTTGTGCTTCACTAAACAGTCAGCAATGCCACTGTTGGCAGTGTTTCACTAAACAGTCTGCAATGCCACAGTTGGTTGTGCTTCACTAAACAGTCTGCAATGCCACAGTTGGTTGTGCTTCATTAAACAGTCAGTAATGCCACATTTGGTTATGCTTCACTAAACAGTCAGCAATGACACTGTTGGTTGTGCTTCGTTAAACAGTCAGCAATGGCACTGTTGGCTGTGTTTCACTAAACTGTCTGTGATGCCAATGTTGGCAGTGCTTCACTAAACAGTCAGCAATGCCACAGTTGGATGTGCTTCTCTAAACAGTCGGTAATGACACTATTGGTTGTGCTTCACTAAACAGTCTGTAATGATACTTTGGTTGTGCTTCATTAAACAGTCAGCAATGGCACTGTTGGCTGTGCTTTACTAAACAGTCAGCAATGCCACAGTTGGTTGTGCTTCATTAAACAGTCAGTAATGGCACTGTTGGTTGTGTTTCACTAAACAGTCAGCAATGGCACTGTTGGCTGTGTTTCACTAAACAGTCTGTGATGCCAGTGTTAGAAGTGTTTCACTAAACAGCCAGCAATGCCACAGGTAGTTGTGTTTCACTAAACAGTCAGCAATGCCACAGTTTGCAGTGTTTCACTAAACAGTGAGCAATGTCAATGTTGGCAGTGTTTCACTAAACAGTCAGCAATGCCACTGTTTGCAGTGTTTCACTAAACAGTCAGCAATGCCACTGTTATTTGTGCTTCATTAAACAGTCAGTAATCCCACATTTGGTTATGCTTCACTAAACAGTCAGCAATGGCACTGTTGGCTGTGTTTCACTAAACAGTCTGTGATGCCACAGTTGGTTGTGCTTCACTAAACAGTCAGCAATGCCACTGTTGTTTGTGCTTAATTAAACAGTCTGTGATGCCACAGTTAGTTGTGCTTCACTAAACAGTCAGCAATGCCACTGTTGGCAGTGTTTCACTAAACAGTCTGCAATGCCACAGTTGGTTGTGCTTCACTAAGCAGTCTGCAATGCCACAGTTGGTTGTGCTTCACTAAACAGTCAGCAATGCCACTGTTGGCAGTGTTTCACTAAACAGTCAGCAATGCCACAGTTGTTTGTTTTTTTAATAAACAGTCAGTAATGGCATTGTTGGCTGTTTTCATTTAACAGTCTGGAATGCCAGAGTTGGTTGTGCTTCAGTAAACAGTCAGCAGTGGCTTTGTTCGCTGTATTTCACTAAACAGTCAGCAATGCCACTCCTGTTGATTTTGCTTTACTAAACAGTCAGCAATGCCAGAGTTGGTTGTGCTTTACTAAAGAGCCTGCAATGCCACTGTTGACTGTGCTTCACTAAACTGTCAACAATGCCACAGTTGGTTGTGCTTTACTAAACAGTCAGCAATGCCACTGTTTGCTGTGCTTCATTAAACAGTCAGCAATGGCACTGTTGGCTGTGTTTCACTAAACTGTCTGTGATGCCACTGTTGACTGTGCTTCACTAAACTGTCAGCAATGCCACAGTTGGTTGTGCTTTACTAAACAGTCATGATCAGCAATGCCACTGTTTGCTGTGCTTCACTAGACAGTCAGTAATGAAATGTTTCTTCTTCAGAATAGGGGCGGTCGGGTAGCCTAGTGGATAAAGCGTTCGCTCGTCACGCCGAAGACCCGGGTTTGATTCCCGACATGGGTACAATGTGTGAAGCCCATTTCTGGTGTCCCCCGCCGTGATATTGCTGGAATATTGCTTAAAGCGGCGTAAAACCATACTCACTCTCTCTCTCTCTCTCTCTCTCTCTCTCTCTCTCTTACATACACACACACACACATACACACACACACACACAAACACACAAAACAACAAACTCGCAGCATATGTTGACCATTTATTGGTTACGAAGTAACATTTAGTGCAGCTATTTCATCCAATCAGACCAAGCTTCATCTTTAGTAGGATAGTTCTGACTGAATCAGGGGAGCCAATCGGGAAGATGTTGTAAGGTCTCGATGCAATTAGGTGGATTGTGGAATTGGCATCTAATTGGGAGATAGCAACAACAAATACCTCAGCTTTGGCTTTCAGATCACCAATACTGGCAGCAATGGCCTCCCGGTCCTCCCTTGTGGTGTACCCATCGGTAAACATGATGACCTTGTTGTCAGCGTCATTGCGGTCGCCGTTGAAAATTGTACTAGTTGCCAGCTTGATGGCATCGCCAATGTTCGTAGAGGGACCCTCTTCGTATGTCTGCTGTTGGAGAGCTGCCAGCACAGCCGACTTGTTGTTGTTATATTCAGTGAATCTGAATACCACTCTCGCGTTTGAAGAAAATGCTATCAATGCAACGTTAACATCATCACGGCCTATGGTGAAAGAGTTCACCATACTCTCTTGGAATCGTTTCATTTCGTCAAATTTGGGTTTGCCGATGGAGCGTGAAACATCTTCTACAAACAGGATGTCTAGGTTCTGGTCATGGGAGACTGGAAAATAAACGTGCAATATGTAAAGATTGTTACAGTGTTACACATACATAGATAACATATAAAGGTATATAGATGGATAGATTTGTAAATATAAGCGATTAAGGGAAGGGATGTCTGGCTCTATTGTCTGACATGATTCTTCGTGTGAGGGTGTCAATACCGCGAATTTCTTGTTTTGTCCAATAAATAACACCAAAAAGAATACAAAAGGACAGGTACAGCATAACTATTTGTGGCTTTAACTTTAAGGCGAGCATTCACTCCAGATCTTCTTTAGTCTACATTTATATTCTGACCGAAAGGTTTCCTTGATATGGGCATATTGGAGTTTATAATTATTATTGACACTAAATGTATTGAGCATCTTCCGCATATGCTGCTGATACAACTACCACTACTTCCGCTACCAAAAGAAGTCCTCAATCGAGAGTGCAATTCCTATGACTAGTGTTACTGAACTACTGTTCATAGAGGTGACAATTGTGAAAGTTGTTTTTAATTGTGATAATCAGGGCATGGTCTTCATGATAGTTTTAGAAGGGTGGAAATCAGTGTCTGCACGCCATGCCAGATTTTGAAAGGCAGTAATCAGAGTGTGCACACCATGGAGGTTTTTGGAGGTTGTTAATCAGTGTTTGGACGGAATAAGTGTTTGTTAAGGGTGGTAATTAGTGTGTGAACGCCATGACGGTTTGTAAAAGGTGATAATCAGGTTATGGTCCCTATGACAGCTTCAAAGGGGTGATAATCAGAATATGGTTTCCATAATTGTTCCGAATAAGGGCAAGTATTGGTTTCGTCTCACGACGTTTCAATGGGCTGAACATCAGGGTATACGCGCAATGACAGTTCTTCATGTATGAACATCAGTGTGTACCTGCCATGACAGTTCTTCATGTATGAACATCAGGGTATATCCGCCATGACAGTTCTTTATGTATGAACATCAGGGTATATCCGCCATGCCAGTTCTTCATGTATGAACATCAGGGTATATCCGCCATGATAGTTCTTCATGTATGAACATCAGGGTATACCTGCCATGACCGTTCTTCATGCATGCACATCAGGGTATATCCGCCATGACAGTTCTTCATGCATGAACATCAGGGTATATCCGCCATGACAGTTCTTCATGCATGAACATCAGGGTATAACCACCATGACAGTTATTCATGCATGAACATCAGGGTATATCCGCCATGACAGTTCTTCATGCATGAACATCAGGGTATATCCGCCATGACAGTTCTTCATGCATGAACATCAGGGTATACCTGCCATGACAGTTCTTCATGCATGAACATCAGGGTATACCTGCCATAACAGTTCTTCATGTATGAACATCAGGGTATACCTGTCACGACAGTTCTTCATGCATGAACATCAGGGTATACCTGCCATGACAGTTCTTCATGCATGAACATCAGGGTATACCTGCCATGACAGTTCTTCATGCATGAACATCAGGGTATATCTGCCACGACAGTTCTTCATGCATGAACATCAGGGTATACCTGCCATGACAGTTCTTCATGCATGAACATCAGGGTATACCTGCCATGACAGTTCGTCATGCATGAACATCAGGGTATACCTGCCATGACAGTTCTTCATGCATGAACATCAGGGTATACCCGCCATGACAGTTTTTCATGTATGAACATCAGGGTATATCCGCCATGACAATTCTTCATGCATGAACATCAGGGTATATCCGCCATGACAATTCTTCATGCACGAACATCAGGGTATAACCACCATGACAGTTCTTCATGCATGAACATCAGGGTATATCCGCCATGACAGTTCTTCATGCATGAACATCAGGGTATATCCGCCATGACAGTTCTTCATGCATGAACATCAGGGTATACCTGCCATGACAGTTCTTCATGTACGAACATCAGAGTATACCTGCCACGACAGTTCTTCATGCATGAACATCAGGGTATACCTGCCATGACAGTTCTTCATGCATGAACATCAGGGTATACCTGCCATGACAGTTCTTCATGTATGAACATCAGGGTATACCTGCCTCGACAGTTCTTCAAGCATGAACATCAGGGTAAACATGCCATGACAGTTCTTCATGCATGAACATCAGGGTATACCTGCCATGACAGTTCTTCATGCATGAACATCAGGGTATATCTGCCATAACAGTTCTTCATGTATGAACATCAGGGTATACCTGTCACGACAGTTCTTCATGCATGAACATCAGGGTATACCTGCCATGACAGTTCTTCATGCATGAACATCAGGGTATACCTGCCATGACAGTTCTTCATGCATGAACATCAGGGTATATCTGCCACGACAGTTCTTCATGCATGAACATCAGGGTATACCTGCCATGACAGTTCTTCATGCATGAACATCAGGGTATACCTGCCATGACAGTTCGTCATGCATGAACATCAGGGTATACCTGCCATGACAGTTCTTCATGCATGAACATCAGGGTATACCCGCCATGACAGTTTTTCATGTATGAACATCAGGGTATATCCGCCATGACAATTCTTCATGCATGAACATCAGGGTATATCCGCCATGACAATTCTTCATGCACGAACATCAGGGTATAACCACCATGACAGTTCTTCATGCATGAACATCAGGGTATATCCGCCATGACAGTTCTTCATGCATGAACATCAGGGTATATCCGCCATGACAGTTCTTCATGCATGAACATCAGGGTATACCTGCCATGACAGTTCTTCATGTACGAACATCAGAGTATACCTGCCACGACAGTTCTTCATGCATGAACATCAGGGTATACCTGCCATGACAGTTCTTCATGCATGAACATCAGGGTATACCTGCCATGACAGTTCTTCATGTATGAACATCAGGGTATACCTGCCACGACAGTTCTTCATGCATGAACATCAGGGTATACCTGCCATGACAGTTCTTCATGCATGAACATCAGGGTATACCTGCCATGACAGTTCTTCATGCATGGACAACAGGGTATACCTGCCATGACAGTTCTTCATGCATGAACATCAGGGTATACCTGCCATGACAGTTCTTCATGCATGAACATCAGGGTATACCTGCCATGACAGTTCTTCATGCATGAACATCAGGGTATACCTGCCATGACAGTTCTTCATGCATGAACATCAGGGTATACCTGCCATGACAGTTCTTCATGCATGAACATCAGGGTAAACATGCCATGACAGTTCTTCATGCATGAACATCAGGGTATACCTGCCATGACAGTTCTTCATGTATGAACATCAGGGTATACCTGCCACGACAGTTCTTCATGCATGAACATCAGGGTATACCTGCCATGACAGTTCTTCATGCATGAACATCAGGGTATACCTGCCATGACAGTTCTTCATGCATGGACATCAGGGTATACCTGCCATGACAGTTCTTCATGCATGAACATCAGGGTATACCTGCCATGACAGTTCTTCATGCATGAACATCAGGGTATACCTGCCATGACAGTTCTTCATGCATGAACATCAGGGTATACCTGCCATGACAGTTCTTCATGCATGAACATCAGGGTATACCTGCCATGACAGTTCTTCATGCATGAACATCAGGGTAAACATGCCATGACAGTTCTTCATGCATGAACATCAGGGTATACCTGCCATGACAGTTCTTCATGCATGAACATCAGGGTATACCTGCCATGACAGTTCTTCATGTATGAACATCAGGGTATACCTGCCACGACAGTTCTTCAAGCATGAACATCAGGGTATACCTGCCATGACAGTTCTTCATGCATGAACATCAGGGTATACCTGCCACGACAGTTCTTCATGCATGAACATCAGGGTATACCTGCCATGACAGTTCTTCAAGCATGAACATCAGGGTATACCTGCCATGACAGTTCTTCATGCATGAACATCAGGGTATACCTGCCACGACAGTTCTTCAAGCATGAACATCAGGGTATACCTGCCATGACAGTTCTTCAAGCATGAACATCAGGGTATACCTGCCATGACAGTTCTTCATGCATGAACATCAGGGTATACCTGCCATGACAGTTCTTCATGCATGAACATCAGGGTATATCTGCAACGACAGTTCTTCATGCATGAACATCAGGGTATACCTGCCATGACAGTTCTTCAAGCATGAACATCAGGGTTTACCTGCCATGACAGTTCTTCATGCATGAACATCAGGGTATACCTGCCATGACAGTTCTTCATGTATGAACATCAGGGTATACCTGCCATGACAGTTCTTCAAGCATGAACATCAGGGTATACCTGCCATGACAGTTCTTCATGCATGAACATCAGGGTATACCTGCCACGACAGTTCTTCATGCATGAACATCAGGGTATACCTGCCATGACAGTTCTTCAAGCATGAACATCAGGGTATACCTGCCATGACAGTTCTTCATGCATGAACATCAGGGTATACCTGCCACGACAGTTCTTCAAGCATGAACATCAGGGTATACCTGCCATGACAGTTCTTCAAGCATGAACATCAGGGTATACCTGCCATGACAGTTCTTCATGCATGAACATCAGGGTATATCTGCAACGACAGTTCTTCATGCATGAACATCAGGGTATACCTGCCATGACAGTTCTTCAAGCATGAACATCAGGGTTTACCTGCCATGACAGTTCTTCATGCATGAACATCAGGGTATACCTGCAATGACAGTTCTTCAAGCATGAACATCAGGGTATACCCACCATGACAGTTCTTTATGCATGAACATCAGGGTATATCTGCCACGACAGTTCTTCATGTATTAACATCAGGGTATATCCACCACCACGGTTCTTTATGTATGAACATCAGGGTATACCCACCATGACAGTTCTTCATGCATGAACATCAGGGTATACCTGCCACGACAGTTCTTCATGCATGAACATCAGGGTATACATGCCATGACAGTTCTTCATGCATGAACATCAGGGTATACCTGCCATGACAGTTCTTCATGCATGAACATCAGGGTATATCTGCAACGACAGTTCTTCATGCATGAACATCAGGGTATACCTGCCATGACAGTTCTTCATGCATGAACATCAGGGTTTACCTGCCATGACAGTTCTTCATGCATGAACATCAGGGTATACCTGCAATGACAGTTCTTCAAGCATGAACATCAGGGTATACCCACCATGACAGTTCTTTATGCATGAACATCAGGGTATATCTGCCACGACAGTTCTTCATGTATTAACATCAGGGTATATCCACCACCACGGTTCTTTATGTATGAACATCAGGGTATACCTGCCATGATAGTTCTTCATGTATGAAACTAAGGGTGTGGTCGTTATCAGATTTTTGAATGCGTGAACATCATGGTATGGATGACGAAACAGATTTTATGGGGCGAAAATCAGAGTGTGGACAACATGACACTTTCGAGGGATTGAAATTCAGGTAGTGGTCGGAATAACAGGATAGTTTTGAAGGGCTCAGAACCAGGGTATTGTCCCTATGGCAGTTTCGAGTGCTTGAAAATCAAGGTTTTGACGCAAAAACAGTTTTGGAGGGTTGAATATAAGTTCCCGGTCACTCCGAGAGTTTTGCATGGGTGAGAATAAGGATGTAGTTTAGAATGGGTGGAAGCCAAGATAGGCATGCAAAAACAGTTTTGAGGGGGTTAAGATCAGGGCGTGCACAACATAACAATTTACAGGGGTGAAAATCAGTGGATGGTATCCATAACAGTTCATGGGTGTAATTCTTTATGTGGTCTTGATGTGAACTCCATGACATTTTTTAAAGAGTAATAACCAGGGTGTGAACGCCATGCCATTTTTTAAAGGGTCATAAACAGGTTGTGGTCGCTATGACAGTTTCAAGTGGGTGAAAATCAGGGTATGGTTTCATAACAGTTCCAAATGATGGAAAATAAGGCATCAATGGGCTGAAAATCAGGATATGATCGCCATGATAGTTCCAAAAGGGTGAATCTCCGGGTGTGGCTGCTATGACAGTTTCGAAGTAGTAGTTATAAGTGTGTGAACGCCATGACAATTTTTAAATGGTGATAATCAAGCTGGAATACTGTTGAGTGCGGCGTCATACAGGAAACAAAAAACAAACAAAAAAAACCCTCACATGCCATCATATAGCTGAAAAACTCTCTTAAAAGATGCGTTGAAGAGAGCTCATTCCATCGTGGCCATTCTGAAACCTACCTGTACACCTGGTACCACGGAAACCAAACTGACACTGACAAACGGAGCCATGAGACAAGGGGGTGCATGTGCCCCCATTAGCACAAGGTTTAGAAAAGCTGCAGATTCTGGAACCATCGGAGCCTGCAAAATAAAATATGAAGCTTAATTAGTTTCAAGAAAGTGTTTCAAAATAAGAATAAAAGATTCAAAGGCAACATCTATGCAAATTCTTAAGGGTTTTTGAAGGTTACTAATCAGCATCTGAACGCCATGACAGTTTCTTTTATTGTTATAATCAAGGTGTGGTCGCCATGCTAGTTTTTAAAGGGAGATAATCAGGATGTGGTCGCCATGTCAGTTTTTAAATGGTAATCAGTGTGTAAACGACATGACAGTTTGGAAAGGGTGATAAGCAGGTGTGGTCGCCAAGCCAGTTTTTGAAGATGGTAATGAGTGTCTGAACGCCATGATAGTTATTAAAGGCTGGTAATCAGTGTGTAAAGACATGCCCGTTTGTACAGGGTGATAATCAGGTTGCGGTGGCCATAAAACATCCAAATGAGGGACAATCAGGGTATGGTTGCTTTGAATGTTGCGAATTGGTGGAAATCATGTTTAGGTCGTTATGAATGTGTCAAATAGGTGCAAATCAAGATATGTTTTTTGAGGGGGTAAGATTCATGGTGTGATCGCTGTGAAAGTTTAGAATTGGTGTAAACCAAGGTATGGACGCCAAAACAGTAATGAGGGGGTCAAAGTCAGAAAGTCGACAACATGTTTCTCAGGAGTGAATATCAGGATGCGGTCATAATGACAATTTCAAAGGTTTCAAAATTCTGAATGCGGTTACCATGACAGTTTTGAAGGGGTCAGAATCAGCGTATTGTCTGTGACATTTTCCAAAAGGTAAAAATCTGGGTATGGACAACAAAACAGTTTTGAGGGGAATTTCGAAGAGGTGGACATCAGGGTGTGTTTGACATGACAGTTTGAAAGGGGTGAACATCAGTGTGTGGCTACCATCACCGTTTCTATGGGGAACAAATCAGGTATTAGCGGGTCGGGCGTTGTCGACACGTCCTATTCACAGGCGAATCAAGATACTGTATGTACGTCTACAACTATGATACACAAACTGTACAATTGTCGAACCGATCTTGTGAACTTCAGGTGCTGGTTGGTTTCATGGACTCAGTGGATGCAGTGGGTGTTTGCTGCTAAAAAGTGTTTCAAGTATATTCAAGACATGAAAAATGTGATTTCTATGTGCAACCAGACAACTTTGATATTTCTCTTAGTAAAAAATCTCCTTAAAATAGTACATGACCATTGGTGTGAAACGCGGTGGGTGAGATAGTCACTTTATGAAGTTACCAAGTGAGTTCAAGATAAATATCGTTGCCAGTCGCCATACTGGAAAATACAAAACATCATCCATCGTAATCACAATCTCATTAAAATCAGATCTTAGTTCTCGCTATCGCTTATCAAAGATCTGAGGACATCCCATTACCGGTCGTGTCAGAACGACCTTTCAACCGACCAATATAAAGCGTCGCTTACCAGATCATGAAAGTGACAGTCGGAATGTATTTTGTAATCATGCAACCTCGAAATGTTACCAAAGTATTCCAAACGGCAGTTACAGCCCGTACGACTGATTCCGTCAAAATGATCGTCTATCTCACGCTTCCGTGGGATAAACATTTAAATGGCGGATCCGGAGGCGTTGCACAGAACGTAGGAAGCACTGCCATACAATCTCAACCATATATCAAACATTCCAAAATGTTCGTTTGTTCAGTTCAAAATTTAAATCGAGAACTGTTTCGATATATTTTTCAAGCGTAGACGGACATGGAAGTCGCCAGTTTGAAATGAGTGACGTAAAGCTTGAAAAAACTGCTTTCTAATTGGCTGATGTCAATTTCTTGTTAGTCATTTTAGTCATCGGTCAAAGTTCGCAAAAGGTCGTTCTGACGTGACCCGTATTGTGATGTCCTCAGAAATTTGTTTAGCGGCAGCGAGAACTTGGATCTGATTTTGATGAATTTGCAATCACAATCTTCTTCTCCTCAGAAACCACGTGATCAATGTAGCTAAAGCTTCACACTTTTCTTCCCACCAATGATGACACCTGAATTTGTCAAGAGGTTTGGATCCGATTGTTTTTCGATATGGGGATATTACAGTAGGTCTATAATACCATTCATTTATCATAATAATGCGGATCTTTGATCACTTCTGGATCAATATCTGGACGCCAATGTTTCGCACTTTACTTACTTTGAAGAGCTAATGATTTAGCTCAAACTTGTTGTTGTTAGTTATTCAATAGAATAACACGTAAAGCGTCAATAGGGCAAGAGATATGCGATACATGTGAGCGACAGTAACCAACTTACCATGCCTTTGGCAGCATGATTGACAAATCAGCAGGAGAAGCAGCAGTATTATCGGATCCTTGAAGAACCAACATTTGAAACAATTGAAAGTCTGATTCAAAATTAAAGCAATTACATGTTATAAAAAATCGAGGCAGGCAAACCAGTGGTTGACATAAGTGGTGAGATTTGTTTTCTGTCAATTCTCAGCAGCAGTATCACATGAAAATACGAGCCAAAACGATATATAATACATTAACTGCGGGGCAAAAGAAAGTTTGTTTTTTATGTAATTGAAATTTTGTAAAAGGTAATCTGTGGCTGAGTAATTTTGTGTAAAAATGATTTAAAGATACGAAATTAATTTGCAACCACTTCAGCGGAAAATCGTAATACATTTATTAAATACTCATCGTCATTGGTTTTTTAAAAGTTATATATGAAGTAATGCATGATAATACAACCATCTCCAAGTATTCTTTCAGCGCTGATAACGTGTCAGTTCAGTTCATTTTTTTTTATGTATACTCAACAACAAAAGTTCCCCTGACACCAATATTTTAGTATATTTTTCAAACAAGTAAAGTTTGGTTTTCCATATTGTAGCACATGTATGGAATCAAGTCACAAAAACGCAACTGCTACAGAAAAGCAAGCATTCCATGCACAAAAAAGTTGACTTTTATACAATCCCCATGCATATCACTACCCAAAATGGGTATAAAAACATGTGCGTTAACGGAATTCTATATGCATTGTTTAGCATCGTGCTGACAACAGCCACTCAGAAAAACAACAAAATTACGCAATTATTCAACATTACGAAATGCCATGCCTGTCCGAAAATGAGCGTCTGCGAGCCATTGGTATGCTTGAAGCAGGATCTTGATGTTGCAAGACAATTTAACGTCCACAGAAGCACCATTTTGGTGTTTATGGCAACATTGGCAACAGACGAATGCAGTCAGAGACCATCCTCGCGAGATCGGAGTGGCAGGCCACACGTAACCAATAATCGACAAGACAACTGGATTCGAACAACACACCTACGATATAGATTTCAGCCAGCAACAGTGACTGCAAGAAGCATCAATGGCCTTTGACGAATATCTTCACAAACCGTACGTCGTCGCCTCAGATGTGCAGTGATTGTCGCCAGAAGACCTGCCAGACGTCCCATTTTGACAGGAAATCACCGCCAAGCACGTCTACAGTGGTGCAGACAGCGTCTACGCTGGACGGCCATGCAGCGGGGACAAGTTCTATTAACTGACAAGTCTCGTTCTCACCTCAGCCACAGCGATGGACGGATTCGAGTGTACCGACGTCGAGGTGAACGTTACGTCAATCATCAGCAGCAGCGTTATGGTATGGGGTGGGATAACAGCAAGACAGAGGACACGTTTGATATTGGTTGAGGGAAATCTCAATGACTGCGACGAGATTATCGGCCCTGTTGTTCTACCGTTTTCGCGTCGTCATGGCCCAGTGTCATGTTTCAACATAACAACGCCCGGCCTCATGTTGCTTGACTTGTTCAGGATTATCTTCAACAAAGCAACGTGAATGTCATCCCCTAGCCGGCTCGCTTCCCTGATCTTTCACCAATCGAGCACATGTGGGATGAGAAGGATCGGCGCCTTCGGCGTCAACCACGTGTTTCACAGACACTCAAGGAACTTCGAAACATGCTACAGCAGATATGGACAGATATCGCACAGGACTTTGTGTAACACCTTGTCCATTGCATGAGACGAAGATGTGTTGCTTGCATCGCAACCAGAGGTGGACACACACGCTATTGATTTGTAAGTTGACATTTTGGCATGTTTATGGCAAGTCAGCATGGCAAATTAAACCATCTGAACACTTTCAGGAGTCCTTTATCTGTTGCAAACCGCAATTGTTTCAGATTTGGTAAAAAACATATCTGTGCATTAAATCTTATTCAATGTCACAGGAACTTTTGTTGTTCAGTATATATATTCACCTCCTCTCCACTGTTATCCCCTTCTCAGCTGTAGTAGCTTATACTCATCCCCTTTCCAGCTCTTGGCTTAAATACCCGCATATAGCGTAGGTTCCCCTGCAGAAAGTGATTTAGTTAGCCTTATCTATAACTTTATAACACAGAAAACAACTTACCTTCTGCATTGTGAAAGAGTTGTACCCAGTGTGGTGCTGCTGCGAGTGACGGAATGGTTTTATATGCTGGAGTTGATGTGTAACATGTGTAGCCACTGAAATAGCTTGGCTGGTCCCACTGCAAACACGAAAACGTCGTTATTTTCCGTATATGGTCATTGGGAAAGAACGTTTTTTGGACGCTTTCACAACATTGGTTTTCTGTCCAAAAAACGTCGTTATTTGTCATGGAAAATTACTGCGAATGAACGATTTTTATCAAGCTCCTCCCTCTTCAGCGTAAACCAGCGTCTACCGGTATTGCTCGTTTTCGGCCTTCATTGGTCAGCTCTAGCGTGTTGTTACAGGCCGGGGTTTATAATCCCTTACTCAACGTTTCCATTTTGTGCATTCCCGATTTCGTGGATTGTTTACAGCACGTAATTGATGTTACGTCGCAGCTGCTGGAAGCTGTACGTGCATTAATTAACGTAACCAGGATCGACAGTTTTAGCACAACGGATTTGCTGTTATGCCAGTCGATACTTTTTAAGTTGATTTAATTGCAATACATAGAACTTCTAAAAATCAATAAAACAATATATATAAAATCCAAAACATTTCTCATGCAAAATATCAACGAAACTCTTTAGGTCATTAGTTTTTTCGAATTACAATATCATAAGCATTGGTAATAATCACCACATGTGTTAATCTTATCAATGTCAGTACCCAAACTTTTAGTCCACACAATAACTCTGTTTACGCAAACGGTCGAGACGGATGCGCAAACGATTTACATACAGCTATATTTGTTGGAACGGTTCGCCTTAACGGTGACAGGATAATGGCGTTCACAAGTTCTAAGAGATATATGCTCACAACCAGTTTGTCCTAGTACAATACTATTTTACTGAACTTCCGCCCCGCCCTTATAGAAATGATATTGTCCTCGATGAAGCAAGTCTAGATTTTTCAAAAGTCTTAATCTCCCATCTCACTGGGGCTCCTTTTCAATCTAAATTCAGTTGTTTGTTTCCATCTCAAATGTATTTCAGTTTCTAAGTGTTAATCTAGATCACAACCTGAGTAGAAAGCAAATATTGGTCTGACTGTGGCCTTTTAAACAGTGTATAGATACAAGTCCCGAGTTCTGTCAGAAGCTGTTCGTAAGATTGATCGCTTATATACAATATTTGCAATAGTCAGAAACGCGCTACTCTTCAGCCGCAATTGATTTTGTGAATATGTTAAAACCCAACACATCTGCAAACTGTTACTGTCTGTACATGGTTTAATCAGCGAAATAAGTATGATTATGGAACATTTTGCTTTCATATCATCCCAAGATAGCTACAGATTACATAAAACTGTAGTTATTATGTCACCATCCTTAAATATATATTTGTTCATCCAAGACAATTAAGATTTACATTCCATTCACCATACAATTAAGCGTTTTTTAGGTCACAGTCAGACAAAGGCCAACGCTGTCCAGTTTGATGACATTTTCGCCCTCCTATGAATATTCCTGTCGCCGAAAAGACCCCATGTTCCTAGGAATATCGTTGATTCGTTGAAAATCATATCACGTACCCAAATAGCTGGATAAGAAAGGCTACTGATAGCCTCTAGTCAACCCCTAAGTGTTATTGCTTAATGTTTATCCAACTTGGCAGGGAATAGTTGCAGTGGCACACGGCAGCATTGTCTGAATTCGTGTGTTATTTGCCAATTTTAGGCCGCTATATCTATTTATTACCCAATAAAGTCAGAGAGAGGGCTGAGAAGGAACTCTGCTAACTTTACAACACTTTTGTGGGAAAACATTATTGATATTCTTATTTAATAACGAATTATAAGACTCTGAATATTAATGTTTATGCAACCTAATTTAGGGCTCTAAAAACTCATAGATATATTTATTCTTAAAAGTTGAGAAATGTAAGACATTTAATACCATTATGCACGAGCATGCATTTTTCTTTATGAAGCAAATTTAGTTAAATAATGTGTTATTGATATTCCAAAGGTAATTTAGCATAAAATATAAGGAAATCAACTGGTATTTCCCACTTGAAACAAACTGTATTTTCTCGAGTACAGTGCGCAGGTTTTCTACACAAATATACAATTGTACAATACACGCCACTGTGAGTTTTTTAAAGTTTTTTTTCCAAACGGAAAGGCATTCCCGAGTGCACGTAACACCTGAAATACCATGTCAACAAATCTAAACTAAAGTACGCAACATAATCCTCAGCTGATATAACACTATCTGGTTTTGAAATGTCTCTTTTTTATGTCTAATCTATTTTATCAGTTTTATTAAAAATAACATTCCATATTATTTGACTTTTAATTTTGGCGACACCAATATTTTAGTGTATTTTTCAAACAAGTAAAGTTAAGTTTTCAATGTTGTAGTACATGTATGGAAAAAACGCAACTGCTACAGAAAAGCATGAATTCCATGCAAAAGTTAACTTTTATGGAAGCCCCATGGATTTAACTACCCAAAAATGGATATAAAAACATGTGCGTTAACGGGATTCCACATGCAACAAAATTACGCAATTATTTAATATTACGAAATGCCACGCCTGTCCGAAAATGAGCGTCTGTGAGCCATTGGTATGCTTTAAGCAGGATTGAGTCAACGTGATGTTGCAAGACAATGTAACGATCATCAGAAACACCATTTTGTGTTTATGGCAACGTTTGCAACAGACAAATGCAGTCAGAGACCATCCTCGGAGTGGCAGGCCACGCGTAACCAATAATCGACAAGACAACTGGATTCGAACAACACACCTACGAAATCGATTTCAGCCAGCAACAGTGACTGCAAGAAGCATCCATGGCCTTCCACGAATATTTTCACACACCGTACGTCGTCGCCTCAGATGTGCAGAGATTGTCGCCAGAATACCTGCCAGACGTCCCATTGTGACAGGAAATCACCGTCAAGCATGTCTACATTTGTGCAGAAAGCGTCTACGAAGCTGGACGGCCATGGAGTGGGGACAAGATCTATTAACTGAAGAGTCCCGTTTTCACCTCAGCCACAGCGATGGACGGATTCGAATGTATTGACGTCGAGGTGAACATTTCGCCAATCATTGTGTCATGGAAAAAGGTCAGTTCGGGGGCGGCAGCGTTATGGTATGGGATGGGATTACAGCAAGACAGAGGACCCGTTTGATAGTGGCTACCGCGACGATATCATCGGCCCTGTTGTTTTACCGTTTTTGCGTCGTCATGGCCCAGGCATTACCTTTCAACATGACAACGCCCGGCCTCATATTGCTTGACTTGTTCAGGATTATCTTAAAAAAAACAACGTGAATGTCATCCCCTAGCCGGCTCGCTCCCCTGATCTCTCTAATCGAGCACATGTGGGATGAGATGGATCGGCGCCTTCGACGTCAAAAACGTGTTTCACAGACACTCCAGGAACTTCGAAACATGATCCAGCAGATATGGACAGATATCCCACAGGACTTTGTGTGAAGCCTTGTCCATTGCATGAGACGAAGATGTGTTGCTTGCATCGCAACCAGAGGTGGAAACACGCGCTTTTGATTTGTAAATTGACATTTTGGCATGTTCATGTGTTTTTTTAATAAAATCACGCATTTTCTTAAGTCAGTAAGGCAAATTAAACTATTTGAACATTTACAGGAGTCTTTTATCTGTTGCAAACCGAAATTGTTTCAGATTTGGTAAAAAACATACCTTTGCATTAAATCTTATTCAATGTGACAGGAGCTTTTGTTGTTCAGTATGTATGTGAACTGATCGGCACGGCTATTGACGCCATGAAACTGACCTTAGTTGACAGAGAATGAATACGCATTTCATAAATGCCCTACTTGGACTTGTCAAAAGTAATATTTATTGTAGCATGACAATTACATGTCAACGTAATGTTTTCGTAATCGGTTATTTAGGTCCATGAAAAATAATAATATGCTTTCCCTCCTCCAATGATCGTCCCTTTTAAGATAAATGATCTTTATGTTATAACTATCAATCACACACACACACACACACACACACACACACACACACACACACACACACACACATGCGCGCGCACACACACAAATCCTTGAGTATTTATAAATGGAGTCTCGAAACTCTGTGGAGTAAGGGCTTACAATTGCAAAGGGATCTCTCTTATCTGTCTGTGCCATCACCTTAACTGCCCTCAGCACCCTTGCCAAGCCTGTCCTCACACTGAACCCTATGTAGCAAGTAGAAAATGTACACAAACATCTACAGGACTTGGTATAACGGATATTTATCAACATTGATATACACCATGTGATACAAGTATTGCTATTATTAAGGTCGGGAGAGGAGATGCAGATTTTCTTTGCATGAACATTTAGTAAATGAAAATGATCATTTGTTGATCTAGTAGAATTTTAGTGATATTTGGTGTATACCGAAGGCGTGTTGTGATATTAGTTTCATTTTCAGCTCTTTTCCAATTTTAGGTCGCTATCTCTAACTCTATTAATTACGCAATAAAGTCTTAAGTCCTTAGCAGAAACTCTGCTAACTTTACAACACGAATGGGATAAAACAGTCTTGACGAACAATTAAGTCTCTGAATATTTATGTTTATGCAACCTAATTTGGCATTTTTTCATCACAACCCCAAGTTAGGCCTCGAAAAACTAATACATATTTGAGAAATCTAAGATTTTAATACCAATATGCACGCGCATGCATTTTTCTTCATAAAGCAAATTTAGTTAAATAATGTGTATTGATAATTTAGCATAAAATATACGGAAATGAACTAGTATTTCACACTTGAAATATTCTATATTTTATCGAGTATAGTGCGCGGGTTTTCTACACAAATATATAGCTGTGTATTGGAGGAGACTATAATACAAGCCACAATGAGTTTTCATTAAAAAAAAAATAAACACAAAGACATTCCCGTGTGCACATAACACCTGAAACACCATGACAACAAATCTTCACAAAAGTACGCAATATAGTCCTCACAATGAGCCTGATGTGGCAAGAAGAAGATGTGCACAAACACCCACTGGGCTAAGGGTACAAGTCATGGACAGGACTTGGTATAACGGATAGTTGTCAACATTGATATACACCATGTAATACAAATATTGCTATTATTAAGGTATAGTGAGGAGATGCAGTTTAACTTTGCATTAACATTTTGTAAATGAAATAGGAGATCATTTCGCATATAAGGCGCTTGGGAATTTTGTGGTATTTTAAGTGATATTGGTTGTATAGCGAAGGCGGGTGGTGATATTAGTACATCCTCAGATCTTTGTAGAGAGGGCATTTCAGCAGAAAGTGTTCCTCATCTAACAACGAGCAAGAAGAGTCACTCCTTTCAATCCAGTCACACTGTCACTGATAATTTGTAGACTTGCTGTGGCTCTAAACATGGTCGATATTTTGAAACATTATTTGATAGAATAAATTCTTTCTTTGTTACGGATAAATGAATTCTTGATATATAATAAGGAATAAAGAGTAAAAAGGCGCCCTATATATTGTTCTTTGTTGATTGTATTGAGTAAAACGATTGCATCACGATTATAGTGTTAATTTCTGTTCCGTTTTCTGCACCATCATTTCTTTCATCTCATAATTTTTTTTTTTTTAAATGGCAACTTATAATTAACCAAGGAAATAATACTAAACCGACCAACGTGAATATATCTCTCAGCCATTATTATCGTAAACATGTTTCTACTTTTAAGTGTATGTACTTATACTATTCATCATACTTATTTAGGAATGACTCATAATCGTACCGTATGTGTACTGTATACATATATATGCAGCACAACGGAACTTTCATTCTATAGAATTACTGTGCAACGGTTCGTCCCTTGTTTTCAGACCTTCCATTCAGACAAATAAATCAGATGTGAATTTACCAAAGTCTCACCGGTTATAAACATTTGATACAAACTGACTTCCGTGTGTAAATGTAATAATGTAATACTCTATAACAAGAAGAAGGGCAGAGTGAGATGTACCCGCCGATGTAGCAGGCTCAAATCAATACCTTAAAAATTAACTCTGGGGTGATTTAAGCACAGGTTTAGTTCACTCCTTTCTACAAGGCCCATAGCTCTCAATCCAGGCTCAGATAACTCCGCGTATTCGTGTAAGATTCAGATGTGACGTCAATCGCTCGTTACAATTCTGAAAATTTGTTTTACACTAAAAATGTCAGATTTCTCAAATAAATATAACTCCCTTTGATTCAACCTTAATCTTTTGTCAAAATTCGACACATGAAAATAATAAGAAGCGTCGATACAACTGGGTACACACACACATAAAATACATTTTAGAGTGAGTGAGTATAGCTTTAGCTGTACAGATAAGAAGCGACTTGTAGTATGATAATAGTTTCCCACATGTGTTGATCCCGATTGTGAGTAAATTCAGTTTCAGTCCAAAATTAAATGATATCATATCTGTTTCGTCTTGCGTTTCGAAATCAACATATTTTTTAATGTTAAGTGCGTCAATGAGAGAAGAGAAAAACGCATTTCTTTCTGATATAAGTATTTAACAATGATAAATAATGTGGTTGTCATAGTCGAACATATGCCTATTTCAGTGCTTGCATTATTTCGAAAGTTTACAGCGTGATGAAACTTTCACACAAAGTTGTTAGGCAGGTCAGTATTCCAGGTACAGAAAAACAATTGCCAAAGTACAAAGTATGTAAATTTCGTATGAATTATTTTAGAACGAGACATGCCAGAGATTTGTCATTGCATTTCTTAGCCATAATTGTTCTTCGTATATGCAAATAGTATCATTAGAAATATTTCTCCATTTATATTTTGGAGGGAAAGTACTGTGTAGCTACCCGAATTGTATTTATCAAGTGTTGGTTTAAGTTCTTTACAGATTGTCTTTGTTGTGACAGTGCTGGCAATGGTCGGACACAAAACAAAACAAGATTTGCAAAGTTTTTGCAGTAAAGGTTGCTTGAACGACCAAGAAATAAAGGTTTGCATTTATCAATACATGCAGTAATTGTCCAAAGACCAAGGTTCGCAAAAGTGGATTCTGAAGCAGATCTTTTTATCAATATCCTTTACAGTGCGTGCAAAATATCTTTCTGTGCCTTCAAATAGATCGGTATGTTGTCCCTTGATGTCAAGGGTAATTCACTTGCATAAATGATGGTTTTGTGTATTATTCTGAGCCATATGTTCACGCTTAAAATTGGATTAAGATGATAACTATATAATCTAAAAGATATTAGGGAGTTAATATTTTGCTCTGCTTTATGACTGTCCTTTTTAATTCTTGTTTTACAAGAAAGATTATGCGTTAAGAGTAATCCACCATATACCATAGAATCAAGAATCAGTTATGGTAATGTGTGCATCACTAAGTTTACAGTGAAAGTTACGCCCCTTGCGTTTCGCTTTGTTGAACACAATTATCGCATTTATACTAGGCGATAACCTTGGGGCATATGTATGTACAATATTAAGGCATCTTTGAAAGCCCGTTGGTGGTATGTTAACGAGTGAAGTATCGTCAACAAGCAAGATTTTTGGAATACCCTTACCATATGCACGAATGCCACATTGTGCTTGTCTAAGGGCTGTAATGAGATCATTTATTAAAACAAACAAAAAAACATCCAAAGATTACTCTGCCTTAGCCAACACCTTGTTGAACCATATATGTCTGTTTGTTCACCTTGGTAGGAAATAGAAGCACAACTATTAACTAAACAATGATCCAGCAATTCCCATGCATTACCTCTAATGCACAGTTCATGTGGGTTGAAAAAGTCTTCTTCGTGCGATATTCCTTCAAATGCTTTTTCATTATTTAAAAATATACAGCTTAATCTGCAAGGTGTCTTTGTATGTTGTACTGAATGCCTTCGGTCAAACTAAACACTGACTAGTTCCATGTCCTATCTAAACCAATCTGTAAAATATCAGGGACAGACTTGGTTAAACCTACACAGTTTTTCTTCTATACTTTTGAACATTTTCGTACAGACATGATGTTAGAGTAATGCCTCTATACTTTCGGGAATCAAATTTCTCATTCTTCCCCTTATATATTGCTGTAACCATGCCAAGTCTATAGTCATAAGGTAAATATGATATTTGTTTCATATGCTTAAAAACTATTCATAACGAATAAATAAGATGTTCTCCTGACGTTCTACATAACGAATCAATAATATATTCATTTGTAATCGTATCCAGACCTGGAGGTTTACTGCTGCTTAGGTATTTGACGGTCCCTCTTATCTCTTGAGATGTTCCTTATGTAGTGATTAGCAGGGTTTTTAGTGTCCGTTGATATATTTCCGAAATGTGCATTTTAAGATAACAAAATAATAATGGCATGTATATGTTTTAGCTAATGGTGTGTGCACGTGTACAAACTGCAAAAACTAAAAAAGATCTTCAGCACCTTATATTGCATATTGTTTTGAAATGTTTTACCTGATGAACACATTCATTATTTACATATCATACTCAATTCCACATAGTATTGCACATAACATGTATCTATGTTTCATGTATATGACGGGTACATGGAGCATTTAAAACCCATTCGCGTCTGGCTCTCAAGGCATGTATAATTGTAAAATGGTAACTTTTGTTTGTTAAGCATCTGTGTGTGTCAAAACACGTGTTATTTTAAAGTGAAATATAAATATTTAGTTGTCTGTTCAGGTAACTAATTTTAACTATTATTTTCTGAATAAACTATTATATAAAACATTAGCTTACCTCTAGCTGAAATGTGTGATCCTGGGTTTCAAACTGCCATGTCAAAGAAACCCAGACATTACAGGCATACACATATTATTTTGTGCTTTGTGACACCAGATGTTGTAATCGACTAATTCTCCTGTCGAAAACAACTATTGTTGTAGAAAGATGAAACCCCAATGCTAGAGAATAACTGTTTCGATTTTCAAACGAAACAGATTCCATTTGGCGTACGAGGTATTCAAATTATATAAATGGATTGCTTAAATTCAATCATGATGCCAGGTGTTCGCACAAAGGGTAAGTCTTTGCCGCAGAAAATGTTCTTACGCAAGCTCTTAGATTTGTTGATTGCAAGCTGGGGCGTTGTCAATATATCATGTGTAAATTGTGTGGACATGTAGAACGCATTTACAGAGAGTATTGAACGGTTTCTTCACACAAAGTCAATCTAATTGGGGATTTTAATGCCCGGACATATAATCCACGCGAGTACGAAATTCTTGATGAATACATAATTGAAGTATTTCATTTGGATATTGATGAAATGAACCCTGAATCTGTGTTCCATGAACTTGGGCTTCGTTGCACAAAAACAGGACAAAACAAGAATAAATAACTTTGGCTATAAATTTATTAAAATCTGTTAAAAAATAAATAGAGGTTATCACGCGAGTGTGTTATGGGATGGTAAATATCCTGCATTAGGCATAAACATTGTAGTTAGCGAACCTTGGCTCGCTAAATACATAGTGTTTATTCCTAATACAGGATATTTACCATCCCCAAACACACAAGCGTGATAACCGCTTTATCATATAATGTCTTTCCTTAATTCTGTGTTTCAAAATCGCTTTCCCTCTCTCACAAACATTACTGAAACATTGCGAGTTTTCCTGGAATGCGCGCATTAATATTTATTACGTCACAGGGTAAGTGATGTGTCAGTCGGACAGTGACAGTAGCCAATATTGGTCTAACTGAAATCTGTTTCTTACACAGTGGCGAAGCAACATATACGCAAAACAACAATTGTTTTTATTTGCCCTTTCGCGGCAATCCATCGGTCTGTCTGCTAGAGTAACTGTCCTTTGTCAAAGGGAAGCTCCTCTAACCCTAGTGTATCAGACGTCACGGCCACGGTCAGACGTTGTTGACAGTCGGTCTGTCCTGGCATAACGTTAAGAAGTGTAATCAGAAGGTAAATTCTGACTCGATCGCCGAATAACGAGGGCGACGCCATGTTTGTTTATAAACAGTGAAAGTAGTCCCTACTTGACCTTTGAAAGTAGTCCCTACTTGACATTTGATACTTGTATCTCTATCCGCATATGACCCCAACGGATATCGTTTTTATCCGTTGGCTTTATCCTCCCGAGGAACCTACCCATTATATGATCAATCTGTTTATTGGTAATGGCAGGCTAGGAAATAATAAAATGCTAGGTAAAACTGCGTGTAAAGGTAAAAGTGTCCGATTCTAATGTAACTGACCTCTCACCTCTCTATTCAGACGTGCACGTGACCCTCGTCAAGGGTCAATACATGTAAACGACTACCGTGCATCTATACAAATGCCACTAACAAACTTAAACATAAGATCCTTGATAAATCTGATATATACGTAAAACATATATATATTTGGAACAGATAAATAATCTGATGAAGACTGTGCATGAAGCACAGGAATAAAACAAGGATTCAAAGGGATTTTATTTGCTTGTATATCAAGAAATGACATCACAGTGTGGTAAGACATTTTAGTATTAGTCTTATTTAGCGATACCCAATTTTGATCATTAGATTCCTCAATCAATATTGCTCACAATGGAAGCTAAATGTTAATATCCTTTGGAAGTGGCCCAGTCGAATCAACCAAATCAATAATTTATTTTGAGGAAAAGATACTGGAAATTGTTGATAATTACACATATTTCAGGATAAATCTTCTCAGAAATATACACTTTGTGTTTTGTATGAAATCACTAAGAACAAACGCGACAAATGTATTGTACTGCCTAATGATGAGCACGAAATGTTAACCTACCATTAGATTGTCTATTGAAGGCGTTTGATGTGATGGTAGTGACAATCCCTCTCTTCTGTTCCGAAATATGGGGTTTTGAAGGTTTAGAAATAACAGAGAAAATGCAATTGAACGTTTTAAAAATAGTAATTGGTCTGAGGAATTCAAAATCCAATGTTATGTTTTATGGGGAACTTGGCAGTGAATCACTCAAAACTATAGTACTTAAGCGGATTATCTCCTCAATAAACGAATTTTAACGGATCCACAAAGTTATCTAATATGTCTAATAATTACAGAATATTTGATACAAGAGAGTGATGCAAATGGATAGCAACAGTAAAAAATACTAACTCATGTCGGACTGTCAGAAATATTTATAAACCCATCTATACTGAACCGCAAACGTATCTCGTGTGTCCGCCATGTGCATTGATGACTGCCGCACAACGTCGATACATGGAATGGATGAGGCGGTTGATGAAGGCCATAGGCACTTGAGACCACACACTGAGGAACGCCTGACGCAGTTCAACTTCAGTTGTCGGTCTTGGTCGGGCTTCATTCAGCTGTCTTTGAATCTCGTCCCACAGGTGCTCAATGGGATTTAAATCGGGACTGAGGGAAGGCCACTGCATGGTGCTGATGCCATTCTGCTGGAGGAAGTCTCATGTTGCTTTCACAGTGTGGGCACGGGCGTTATCATGCTGAAATCCGTGGTTGCGGCAGCGAAATGAGGTATGGCGTGTGGTCTCAAGACTTGATCAATGTACTGAACTGCTGTGACACCATTGCCTCTTACTTGACCAATGTTCTGGAAGACCACAGGACCGACCCTCTGTGCAAAAACTATTCCATCCCACACCATGATGCTCGGACCAACCCACGAGTCTCTCACAACAACAGGAGCATCCGAATGGCATGACCCATGGCGTCGCCAGACTCTCTCTCTCTCTGCAATCTGCTGTTGAGATATAGTAACGGCTCTCGTCTGAGAAGAGGACTCTTTTCCAGTGCTGGTGGCGCCAGTGCTGGTCCTGTGTTGCCAACTGAAAACGGTCCCGGCGATGACATGGTGTCAGTATCGGTCCTCGGTGTGGCCTGTGACAGTGGAAGTGTCAATCGTCGATGCACGGTGTCCGCACTGATGTGTCGCTGGTGTGTCCCCATGGCTTGTAGAGCAAGTTCCACAGCATTAACAAAGCGATCTTGAAGATGCTGTCGCACAATCTGACGTCCGGTCGTGACCCTTGGTCTTCCACTAAGTGGTCGGTCATCTGTAGTGTTGGTGGTCTGGTACCGTTGCTGGAGCCTGTATATGGTCCTTACGTGGACTTGAAATGCATTTGCTACTTGCTGGGCGGTTTGTCCAGCTTGCAATCGTCCAAGGGCTTGGTGTCGCTGATTTCTTGTCTATCTTGGCATGCGGTAGCAATTCCATCACAAATAAATGTTATCCGATCTTGGTAACACCTTAGTAAGTGACAATGATTCGCAGTCTATGATATGTCGATTCAATTCATATTTTATAGTGCTTGAGCTATTAGAAACCTATGATCGTGGTTCGAATCCCGGTTCGCACCGATAATGTTTTTAGGTTTGTCAGCACCATACCGCTCGGTTTCACCCATGTGGTAAACGTCTAAGACCTGCAAACTCTTTGCATTCAAGAATACAGTGGCCATAACTTTCTTCACTGATCTTGGTGAATTTCTTTGATGCTGCCGCAAAAGTGGAATGGTGTCTCGGGATCATAGCAGTAGACTCATGTTTCCATACCTGCTACTAAACGCTTTTCGAATTTGACGAAATCCTCAATAAAATATACATTCTCTCTGGCAAAGACGGATGTTTTGCTGTTGGAGAAATGGGGTCACATTCCTGGCACGATGAGCACGTGCAGGATCTGGTGCAATGATGTCCAAATAGTATTGGCCTACGATTCTGCCATGGACAATAAGGTACGCAGTCCGGCCAGTCATTGTGATACCACCCTACAACATTTTGGACCCAAACCCATAAACGATGCGGCTGTACAGCTTTAACGACCATAAAACGCTCATTAGGACGTCTCCAAAAACAATTTTACGTGCAGTAAGTTAGGGGATGACACATATGGGCATGTGCTCTTTCTCCAGTTGCAATATGTCCCTTATCCGAATGCAGTTTGCAACCAATATCTTAATGCAATCATCCTGACTAAACTGTCCTAGGTTGAAGTTGTTGCCCTTGGGCGTATAGAGCGGCGTCTATCATCGACGTTATGGGCATGCTGTTATCGGGCCACAATCTGCTGATGACAGATTGAGAAACGTGCAGCGCTATGGGTAAGTAAACGTTCAGCACATTGCAAACGTGGCAAAGATCAATCTTAAAGATTACATTGTTGGATCAAGTGCTCTTGAGAGTTTGCTTTCAAGAAAACAATAATATGATGGTGAATCTGGCATACCACCTCTTGCACGTTATGTCCGAGAACACAGGCTTCATGACTGTCACAATGTTTTGTCTTTGGAGTTGTACCATCTACAGACGCATCATATTATATACTGAGCCGCAAAAAAACGTCACCCCAAGTAACATTGCATGAAAAGTTGTCATTTTAATATCTGGGTAACTTATGTCAAAAAGTTTCTAAAATTTAATATAACCTTTACGAAAAAATAAAATTTAATGATTAAAACATAAAGCAGATGACAATATAACTGATTGCGCAAACGCATCAAGACAACGGCCATGGTAAACCGATGAGTTCCCCCATTTCTTGCCCTATTAAAATGCACCCAGATCGGATAACATTCATTCGTTATTGAATTGCGACCACATGCCAAGATTGACAAGAAATCAGGGACACCAAGCCCTTGGACGATTGCAAGCTGGTCAAACCGCCCTGCAAGTAGCCAATGTGTATCAAGTCCACGTAAGGACCATATACAGGCTCCAGCAACGGTACCAGACCACAATCACTACAGATGACCGACCACTTAGTGGAAGACCAAGGGTCACCACCCGACGTCATGATCGTCAGATTGTGCGACAGCATCTTCAAGATCGCTTTGTT